CGATAGGAAGAGCAGTGTGATAACAGCCTTTGAAGAAAACATGGTACTAATGCAAACACGTGCCTGAACAAAGTGTTGCAAGCATTGTCACAATGGCATTTATACCATCTGTTGGCTCTCCTAAATACTCCTATGTGTTTTGTAGTTCTCTCAACTTCAGAAATACTCTGCATAAGTACACCTTGTCTTTAGGTACACCAGAAGCACAAATTGCAATTGTGAATTTCAGAGCTTAATTTTCTTTTTCTTTGTCTCTAGTCAGCCCCTGGTGCCAAGAGAAAATATCACAGCTTGGATGAATGCAATTGGACTAATTATCACAGCCTTACCAGTGAGTCGATATTTTGTACTTGAAAATAAAAAAATCTCTTTTTCCATGTAAGGTTTATCATCTTTCTAGTATGTTGTAAAAACTTACAGCCAACGTCTGTAGATTCCACAGAGAGCTATTCAGAAGGTTGCTTGCGTGTTTGAGAAACTTCTACTCCCCCAGCATGGAAAAATTGACCAGAATTTCTGTTTTTCTGTTATGTTTTGAGGCTAGGATGAAAAGAAGTAAATCATTCCTGTTTAAAAACAGCTGAATTCCATGTGTGTAGTATTGAGAAATGGAAATAGAACATCTGTAAGGGTTCTGATGCAAGCTAATTTTCTTATTAATGCTTGAAGTTGCACAGCCTGTATCTCTTAAACCATGTAAAAGAGATGTGCCTCAGACTGCAAAAGCAAATGTGTGCAGAATTAGAGTTCATGTATGAGGAGAAACTTTGATCTTCTGAGAATAATGACTCTTGGGACCTGACCAGGACTGCCTGAATAATTTTGATCTTGCTTACTTGTTACTTATATGTGCAACAGTAATCCTTTCCTTGCAACTTCTTTTCCCCAGCAAAATGGTCCCTTTTCTTGGAAGAAAGCCAACATGGATTTAATCCTTATAATTTTTTATAATGCTTTTTATTATTCTTCCTTATCCATCTCCTTGCATCTTCATCTAAATTCTTTGCCTTCAGCACCTTTTTTTGTTTCCTGTTTGCGTCCTGAATTTTTGGTCTGTTTGTTTCTGCACTCAGAAAATTCTCAGTCTCCTTCCATTAAGGCTTTTCGCCTCTGCTCTGCTTTTTTTGGAGACCTTTGTATTAGCTAACTAAATAATTAAATTCATGAAATATGTCTTGAGAATGCCATACCCTCAACTGTGCCATATCCACTAGCATGGATGCTTTCTATATTGTGCTTCTTAATTTTCATGTTTGTTGGACAGGGTTATAAACTATCGTGTAGTTGAAAAAATTTTAGAAATGCAATAATAGTTGAGGAAGCATTGTCTTAGATTGTGCTCTTTTCAGAAGCAATTCTGACTTTTTATTTTTACCAGGAGCCATACTGGATTGTTCTCCATGATCGCATTGTGAGCGTCATCAACAGTCCCAGCTTGACATCAGAGACTGAGTGGGTTGGTTACCCATTCCAGCTGTTTGATTTCACAGCATGTCACCAGTCTTACTCTGAGATGAGTTGTAGCTACACTTTGGCTCTGGCACACGCTGTCTGGCATCATTCTAGCATTGGACAGCTTTCTCTCATTCCTAAGTAGGTGTAATGATATTTGGTAATTTAATTTGTCTTTTAAATTCCATGCATATTGTAGATAAAGCTGTACTTGTAGTACTTACTCCAGCAAATACGTACAGGGGAGCTCCAAAACTCAGCAGATAGATCACAAGTTTTTTTCCAGCTCCGTCTTCCACTGACAGAACTCATCTGTAAGCTTTGGGGCTTTTGCCTAGAGTGTGACTGCCTTTAATAATGAGCCTTTTTATTCTTGATTAGCTTTTTTGCTTTTATTAATTTCAATTTTTCTTAAACCATTGACTGTAGTATGTTCCTAGAGCATGAACTGTAATCAGTAAATGTATCCTTAATTCTAGCAAGTACCCCCTACTGCAAGTTGAGTTGCTTTGCTGGCTGAAGGATGTGGTAGTGGTCCACTTAATCAGTAAAGCAAGTAAAAAATACCACTGCATTAAAAAGCTGATTAGATTTTCCCCAGTGCCATGTTAATGAGAGAACTAACAGACTTCACTTACTAAGTCTTAAAATATTGAACAGAAATGAAGGTGGTGTGATGTATTCCTCTTGATTAATCCTGAACCTTGATTTAAGGCTAGTGTTAAAACGTTAGAGGACAGCTTTTTGAATGTGTGTAGCATTCTGCTGAGCTTAGAATTGTGGCCTGTTCTAGTCTAGTAATAATGCCTAGAAATGTTCTAGAGCTTCACTGAAATAACTAATATTTGCAGAGCTACACTGTATTTTCTAAAGTGAAAGCCCAGATCTGTGAGAGAGAATATGATGCTTAGGCTAGAATTTGGGGTAGGGGAAAGAAGAAAAAAAAAATTTCAGTTAAAGGAATAAGTGTCTTGAAATACTGCAGGTTCCTCACAGAAGTATTGATACCCATAGTGAAAACAGAGTTCCAGTTACTCTACGTTTACCACCTTGTTGGTCCTTTTCTACAACGGTTCCAGCAGGAGAGGACACGATGCATGATAGAGGTAAAGTGTAGCTCTTGGTCTACTTTATACAGTGTATATTATTTTAGCTTTGCAATTATATGACAAAGCAGAATCTGATAAAGATCTTTGATAACACTCAGAATTAAATTCTGTACAAATTAAACAGTATTTTCAAGGATCTGAATTGCTGAGATTGTATTCAGCTACCCAGTCAACTGAAATCTTGTTAGCTTGGTTCAGGATGAAATACCTAGCACTTTTTTTAATTAAGAAAAAAAAAAGAATCCCACAAAAAATAGAACTACAACCCCAACAATAGCAAGTGATACATGTTTTCTTTGGCTGCCAAACTGTGTGCAAAATATGCATCAGACTTACTGCCTGTTTTAAAAGCTTCTGTGCAGGGGAGGGAAGTACGCAAGAGCTGATTTGTGATGATGGAGGAGCACAAGCTTTTTCTTACGTTCATATCAATGTGGGTAAGGATAGGGGAGGAGAAAAAAGATGGAGCTGGCTGGTAGGCAGATGAGCTGAAAAACAGCAGGTAGCAGAGACCTTTCTAGAAAGAAAAGCTTGACTTGGGAATCCTAAGCCTTTAAATATCTGTGCTGTTGGTAAATATACACAAAACCTATCTGTCAAGTTTCCCTCTAGAGTCTGACTGACATAATAGATTGGTCTACGACCACTACTGATTACTTTTTCTTCCCCAGTTACCAGTATCCATGCTGGGGACTTCACTCTTAACCTTCTTAGGTCCATGTTAGTTCCTGTGCTGCAAATCTCTGTCCCCCCACTCTGCCCCCACACCCAGTTCTTTCTAAAATACTTTGTTTGCATACATGTTTTGTGAAGAAGTCAGAGTTCAGGGGTGTGTACACAGAGGAAGTAGAGTTTTGTAACTTTTGTTTCCATGTTATTGAATTATGTCGTGAACACAGGATACTGTAAGAAACTGTATCAGGTACTTAATTAATCATATGGCAGTGTTTCTGTGTACATGTTTACGTATTTCCTTCAGTTTTGCCCCTGAGTTGTGACCTTTTCTGGTTCTTTTTAAGTATACTTTGGAAGTGTGAAAAAAAACCCCAACATATATAATTCTTTATGATTTTTTTTTTTTCCTTTTTCTTCTTTTTTTTTTTTCTTAAATCAACAATAAACATGACTCCAATATGGTTTTTTTCATAAAGCAGTGCTTAAGTAAAAGCACTGGAAAGCAACAGAAAGTACTGATGAGGCATGCATCAGTATCATTTTATAGATTCCTATATAATACTATAAATAGCTAGTAAGTACTGTTTTGTCTGGTTTCTTCCTTCCTCCAGGAAGGAAGTGTTTTCTGTGCTTGCATTCTCTGTATTGAACCATAATACAAGAAAAGTTAAAAAGCTGTCGTATTTCCATGCTTTTCAACATTTCTATGCTTCTCAACATTTCCATTCCACTCCTTTTTCTTTGCAAGGAGTTGGTTTCAGTGTGAGGAAATTGTTAGCAGTTGCTACCCTATGACTTAAAAGACTAAGCACAATGTTTGAGGTTTACATTGCCATCTTTAAATGGTCGTAGGTGCACCTACGGGGGATTGGACTAGATGATCTTTCGAGGTCCCTTCCAATCCCCAACATTCTGTGATTCTGTGATATGTTTGCACACAACACTTCCTTAATAAGTATATTCAAACATGTGGTTATAAACTCTTTGTAGAGAATGCTTGAACTATTAAAATGGACTGTGTGTATTTGCTGAAGACCTTGCTGGAGTCTAGATACAAGTTGAATGCAGTAAACTGTAGTGTCTTCTCTCTAGAAGACTCAAATCTTGTGCTAAAATTTTCCCAGTTACTTTTGCTAATTTTGTAGGCACTTACAAACCGTATTGCAGTCGATGATGTTTAAGTGTTAGTTATGTAGCATGTACCAAAATACCATCGTTGCGCTCTCTGGAAGTTAGCTTGGGAAAATGGGATCTTTTAGTTAAGCATAATGGGGTGAGTTAGACCTGCCCATTTGTCCTTGTAAGAAAGTAAATGGTTAGGAATCACAGATACTTAAAAAGCAGAACGTGTATTTATTACACTATTTAACTGTATTTCTACTCTAAAGCGTTTTAAAACCTGTTTTCATTTGGGGTGCTTTTTGTGTCTGTGGAAACAGATTGGAGTGGCATTTTATGAAATGCTCCTGAATGCAGATCGCTACAGCTCACACCTGAACTACATGGATCCTATATGTGACTTCTTGTATCATATGAAGTATATGTTTACAGGTGACAGTGTGAAAGACCAAGTAAGTAAACAGTAGATATTGATACTTGTCATTATCTTTCTTCCCATATTGCAATTTAGTGATTTTATTAATTATTTTCATAGGTAGCAGTACAACAAAATCCTTAACAGTTGACTAGTCTCTATATGCAAGTTGGTGCACTTACACACATTTAAAAGCTTCAGATGCAGTAGACTAGGTATCTCAGATTTCAAGATTAATTTCTGTAGTCTGAAATGTAAGATATACCTTGAGGTTGCTTTAAGTACTGTTATTAAAGCAATCACTAGAAATAAAGATATCGGATGTTTCATAATTTTTCCTCATTTCAATTTGTATCTCTCAAGTTTTTACCTAATTTCTGATTCATTAGTATAACTTGACATGTGACAAAAGCAAGAATACATCCGTGTTTGGTGAAAAATCATTCACCCAATTTAAGTTTAGTGTGTAACTATGCACTTTTAAAAGTGTCAGTTGTGTGAGTTGTTTTGGAAAGCTTTGGTGTACAACTGTTACACCAGGGAGGATGTTTTTAAGGCTAATTATCAGAAAAGGTCCAAAAGTTAACATGGTAAATAAAATATTAACATAAATACCACTATTTACTATGTATTTTTCCTTTTTTTGTTGTGCTAATGTGATGTTTGTGTACAGTGGTGACATATGTCAAAATACTCCTGTTTTACTAGATGCCTTTCTGTCTTGTTTGTTTTTTTTTTTATTTTTTTTTTAACAGGTTGAGAAAATAATTTGTAATTTAAGACCAGCTTTGAAACTTCGGTTACGCTTCATAACACACATCAGCAAAATGGAACCAGCTGCTGTTCCACAACAACCTCTCAATAATGGGTCACCAGCTCAACAGCCCAGCCAAGTGCCTGTTAATGTTACTTTGCCAGTAACACAGTGAAACGCAGTGTCCCACCAGCCTTGATGTCAAGGGTTCCTTCTGTTTGATCAAGGTGAAACACCATCTGATCTGAAATCTGGTATGCTCTACAAAAGGAAAGAGAACCATGTACAGATTTTAGCTTCATTTTCTTTTGCATAATGAAGCTGTCTTAATGGCATGCATGCCAATCTCCTTACCTATTTATATCAGACACTAGATGAGGTATATTTTGCCTTTCTCTGAAAGCACTCAGTAAAGATTCTCTGCAAGCAAATACATGGATTTCTGAAGATTTTACAATATCCTGCTGCCTATCCTGGTTTGTCATCTGGATTTTTGCTTTCTTTCTGTCTGTGATGTGAAAGTACACTCAATGTGTGTAGCCTGGTAGAAGAGGGCTTTCTTAAGTTCAGGTTCCACCTTATTAGATTTTCTGTTCCTTTTGTCCAACAGAAGAATTTAAATTCTTTTTGTCTTCTGGGCAGACAAGTTAAGCCCTTCCACAGAAACACTCTAGACAGAGAGATTGCATCAATTACATTGAATTAATTATAACATCTTTCCAAAGACTAAGAATGAGCCTTTGAAAATATCTGTAAATTTTGTATGTACAGTTTACATTCAACAGACGAGGCACGGGTTTGATCTAGCATCAATTACTAGACTATTAGATTACTACCCAGAGGCTGTTTCTAACGAATCTGTTGGAAGTCTGCATGTTCAGTTCAGGCTATGCTGGTCCATGTTTTATCTTTCCTATTTGGGAAATGGTGTCGTTTTTATTAAGTCAATCACATGAATTTTATTGATATCTTCTTATTAGATTTGTATAATATTCTACTTTAAGTTTTATGTGTACTGTGTTCAGC